TGAAACTCCTCCTATCTCTTATCTTTTTCACAGTTTGAAACTCCTATCATTGTCTTTGAACTCAATCTTGAAGAGATTTTCCTAGAATGCGTTTGTGATTTCTGGCCTATAAAAAGGAGTCCTTGGTCCTCATTTTAAAACACCAAAAAGCATTCTTGCTTTGTGCTTTAGAAGTAGCAAAGAACAGTTCTCTGCTTTGTGCTTCAAACTGTCCTGCTTTGTACTATTCCTGAAATCTGCTTCTGTTCTTCGTGCTTTGGGTGTGCCCTTCGAATTTTCTCCAGATTTGGTGTTGCCTTTGTGGTGGTGGATCAGATTTTCTGAGCCTAATAAAAGGGGAATTTGTCGTTCTTATTGTTCTTCATTTTTAGTTTTCTAATTTGATTTCCTTTATTAGTTAATTCCTTAACTTACTTGTTTGATTTGTTCAATTGTAGGTGAAATTGGAATCACACTTATAATTCATTTTGCAATACATTACTTGCATTCTAGTTCATGTAAATACTTGGGTTACAAAATTAATCATAGGAGCCACAAAAATATTGTTTCATATTTATCAAACCTTGTACAAATTATTTGTATGTTCAATGAAAATAAATAAAATGACACATAAAATTGATAAACAAGAGAGCTGTTTTTTATCTTGTATACAAAGTATTGAATTTATAACAAGTTTGTGAGAATAATGATCTTAAAACCCTTTACGAGACTTTGGATTAAAAACCCTACAATTTTTCCTGATTTCTCCAGCTTTTCCCACAAGAACTTGAATATTTGCCAACTTGATCATAGCATTTGCAAAGTTCTGCTGAAATGCACTTGGATTGGATGCAAAACTTGATACAATAGGTGCAGTTGATCTGTCCAATGCAAGCTGCTGATCAATCTGCAGAATTCCTTTCTTGGACCGTATTTGATTGTAGAACTGATGATCAAAAATAAATGATGTGTTTTGATCCAAAAACACCGTTGGATCCCTGTTCAACGGCCTTGATGTTGTTCCACTAGTCCTCAAGAGTCTAGAAGCCAGCGTGGAATCCAGCGTTGGATCGGGCTTTCCGGTGCCCTGAAAATTCGAAAGGCGGTCTTGAAAGAAGCCACAGTGTGCTACTCCAACTGTATGTGCACCCAAAAGGGTGACCATGTCATTCAAAGTGAGCCCTTTTGCTCTGAAAAATGGGAACGCCTCTTGCACAGACAATGAGGGGCCTGGTAAATTTACTTCAGCTGAGTCCGAGACGAAAACAGCCCGCCTTCCAGTTGGTACGTTGTAACGAGGTCCTCCGGCTAAGACAACCGCGTCTCTTGTTGCCACTGTTATGATATCTGCACACGAGACGGTGGAGGGGCAGGCAGCTTCGAGGGCTTTTTTATCTCGTCAATGAGCTCGTATCCTCGCACTGTCAAGTTTGGTCCTGCATCCTTTTCTGAAGATGTGGACTTGGTTGAATCAATGAGTATCGATGCATCACAACCCTAAAACCATTTTTTTACATGGATAATTGTTAAATAAGTTACAGTTGTTAGATGAGATAGTAAAAAATGGTATCAAAATAAATAAATGTTTCAAGTTCAAGTCGCAGAGTTATACAGGTAATGGATCTATCAGCGCCAAACCGATTTTCCACCAATTGTCGAATAATCGTTTCTGCTCGTGGACAGGTAGAGCTGTAGAAAGCAACTCGCAGTTGAGCAGAAACAAAGTGAAGAAGGCAACAGAAAAGTAGAATAATGATTTTCTTCTCCATTTTCACTAATTATATCAAATAAAATGATTTTTGTTTTCAATGAGCAAAGAATGAAGAAGAAAGAGTGTATATATAGCAAGGAAAAAGCAAGATTTGTAGGGTGTAGTTCAGTTGGAAACGTGCAAAGTCAAAGAATATGATGCAAACGTTGTATTTGAATTATGTTTTGGCTCCTTCTTCTTTCGTGAGGAGGACACACGTATACAAACGCGTTAGAACTTGGATATTAGGTCGTGTAGTTTAAAAAATTGATAAAAATTTAATTCAAAATTAATAATTAATTTTAAAAACAGAAAATGGAATTTTCAACTTTTCAACAATACATTTCATCAACTTTTATTAA